TAGACCAGCAGTCACAGAGTGAGCAGTGATCTCTAGTCTCGAAGTCTATGAAAAGGCTATTGTAAGAGAACATATCATTGGATTTAAAGTTTGTTTTGAAAAATGAGTGTGTCAATATTTTCTCATGTTCCAAAAGAGATGTGTAAAAGGGTATTCCTAGAGATCCTTAATGGTATAATTTAAACTGTACTCTATTTTACCAACATTGTGGCCTAATTAGGATCTACACATCAGTATAAATGATTGCTTGTTTACAAAGTCAGCTGTATGTGTGCACCGAATTAAGACAGCCAGATATTTATAAGCATTTGGGAATTTAAACCACCAAATCATCTTATTATTTAATAAAACAGATATAATGCAATTATCAACAATGACCACATCTTTCTTACTCTAAATCGTAATCACAAGCAGAAAAAAACCCTGTTGAAAGAAAGTTGAGTGAAAGAAGTTGAGTTTTGTTGTATAAACTAATGGAAAGTGGCTGTATTTAATCCCGTAGAAACTGAAGACTAAGTTATTTTCACAGTAAGTTGAAGGATATATCTTGCCTGTGTTTCCTGTTATGAGCTTGTTCTTCCTTGCTCCAATAATTGGTGCTAACATGTGATCAAGAGATTTGGTGAATATCGAATATATGCAAGACTAGGGAAGCTACCACTGCTATTTTTATTAGTATGAAATACTCAAAGCCAGGTTACAAAAACATATGACAACAATTAGAACTTTAAGAATGAGGTCAGTAGATGTTGGGATTTAACTCAAGATGGATACTCTCAGTGGACCGGCACACAATGCTAATGTACCAAATACAATGTAGCTAAAAGTGGTAGCATTTGGTCTGTATGTCTGGAAATGAAGGATGACATATGCAAGTAAACTGCAAGGAAAATGGATTGAATCCTAACCCAACACTTTCCAAATTCTTATGTGCAAGCCAAACCAACAACTTTTGAATGTTGTTGGCTTGCAGAATGAAGTTTAGCAGGCTTCTGCTACACATCCCGAGGTCTCAGCTATTCTATATCCAATGATGTCAAGGACAGATCAGATTGAGTGGTCAGGCGCCAACCAAGGCCTGACTCAGGACCATGGACAGCGGAAAACAGTTTGCTACAGCTGTGTTACCCAGTTAGTTCTCTATTTTCTGTGAACAGAATCTCATCACAAAATACATTATCAGGATTTCTTTTAGCTACTTGGGTTGTTGCTGGCCATCTGGAGGTTGTCTAGTTCATACAGGTACATATCTGTCTAGAAGAAAGAACTGGAAAATTCTTACTATTGGGCTTTAAAGCAATCCATATTTTGTGAGTGAAGGGTGTTTTTGCGTCCTCAGACCAAAAGAATGTATAAAATGTCTAACTACCAGCATGGTGTTGACATTATAAAGCATATACCTGAAAGGAAGTAGCCCTCTCAATTGCATGTTTGTTGAATGCTAGTCACATTTGCTGCTGCTAATCCCTCTGAATGAGAGTCAATGAGACATGGTGAAAAACAACAACAACAACCAAAAGAAGAAGAAGAAGGAAGAAGAAGAAGAAGAAGAAGAAGAAGAAGAAGAAGAAGAAGAAGAAGAAGAAGAAGAAGAAGAAGAAGAAGAAGAAGAAGAAGAAGAAGAAGAAGAAGAAGAAGAAGTATCAAGGGATCAAGGGAAATGGAACAAACGCAATCTATTAAGGTGTATATCCCCACTACCGTTTTCTTTCTCCTGTGTTCCCTCTACTTACATCTTTATTTTAAAGATAAAATCAGAAAGGTCATTTTCTCATTTGACTTTATTTTTCTGTGCCCTGCTTTGAAATGTAACCATGGCTGCCAGTGGTATAGACCAGGGGCGTTTAGGCCTATTAAACAGTTTGATCAAGGCAGTTCAGTCAAAAGCCTAGAAAATAATTTTCTCTCCATTGGTGCTTTCATTTTCATTTTCTCCTCTTAGGTCTGAGGATAGTATGGTTGGCATTTGTGGCAAAAACAGTTAATTTCATCCAGTCTGCCTAATGATTTTTCTCTTAGCCTTGTACCTGATCTACTTAGAACTACCCTTGAATAGTTGGAGAGATAGCTCAGTGGTTAAGAGCACTTGGTGCTTTTCCACAGGACCCATTTTGGGCATCTTATAAAATACTTTGTAATTCTAGCTCCAACAATCTGGCCTCCTCTTTTGGCTTCCATGGGCACCTGTACACAATGGCATAAACACATACAGGCTCACACATACACATAAATATTTTTATCTTAAAATTCCAGTGGTCATGCTTTTCCATTCTAATATTTGTTTCCAATTAAATATTTAATATTTCCATTAAAAATTTCTTCTCATTCATCAGGCTGTATGCTTATAATGTACTGAGTAAAACTGCTGACCTTTATAGATAGACATTTTTTTCTAGTTACTTCTTGGTATCAGAGAAAGTTCTCTTTTCTTTTGTTACCATACCATTAAACACCTTTGGTGAGTGGGTGTGTATTCAATTAAATATACTGAGCATTTAACAAGTCAGAAGAATCTAAATCTAATACATATTAACCTATCTCATAACAGCATCAGGTATTTTTTCTATTTGAGGAACAAGGGAAATGATATTCAAAAGTCCTTCAGGTAGTCAAACTTCAATTAGAGAAAGCACTGCTTTCTCTCTACTCTGGACCATGTGATCTTTTAGGATGGACTTGTTCTAATGGAAACTCATACATCTCAGAACACCACACTCACAAAAATAATTATGTGAAACACCAGCAGCAGCTTTTACACCAAGAAGTGGGGAGTAGTTGATTCCCATCCATTATAACAAAGTGGATATAAAGCTGCTTAGTACAAAATCCATTACTGACATGGTATGCTCACTGGGCCCTTTTCAGATGGAAAATATTGGCCATTAGCAAAGATTAAATAATTTACCTGAGCTTGCCTGGAGCACTAAGTGCCAGGGAGGAGTTGATGATTATGTCTTGGGGGTTGCTTAGACTTCTGAACTTCAGATAATCCTAATTTTACAGGGCAATTTATTACTGAATTTTCCTAATAGTAATTATTTAAAAGATGCATTTAGAACATTTAATGTTGATGACCTCACTTAGTCTTTCCTATTCTTTTTATTCTTTGACTGAATAATTGGAAAATAAATTCAGATAGATAATTATGATCAGTGGTGAATGGGATTTGATCTTCTTCCATGGTCTTTCTTTATCGATCTCTGAGTCATTTGGTGTCTAAAATGTCTGGATTGCCATTTGAAAGGTTTCATTGTACGTTTTAGATAGTGTGTCACATTAAATGTGCTCCCTGGATGGGCATGAACCTGTTACTCATTCCCAGGGAAGTCAGGAAGGATTACGGGGAAGTGGCCACTCTTGGGAGCTTTAAGGAGAAGGAAAGATTCAGGGCACTCTTTTACAACAGGTAGAAGCTTAGTAGGCTCACACTCTTAACAGGGTTCCTTGACAAATAAATGTATTAGAAGGGACTGTGGCTTTGGGCCACAAACTACTAGTCGAAGGTGGGAGAAAAAGAAAATCACAGATGGTTTGCAAGGTGACTCATTTCTCCAACCCCCATTCCATCTTCTTTAATTTTTAAAAAGCATTTTGGTCATAAACTTTCACAAAACGTATTTAACCACCAGATTGTTTAGTTGACGCAAGAAGATTTTTACTTCATTGCCCATTTTTACAGCCTCTCTTCATTGCCATAGGAAGTCGCCTTAATGACCTGTCCGGGATCTTAGAGGCTGCATTACATTCATTTGTCTTTGAATGCAGATTTTTTTTTTTTGGTCGTGGAATCCTCTCTGAGAAAGACCAGTAGATGACTCATGGCAATAACAACATGCCACAGCAGAATATTTGCCTCTTGCCTATGAGTTTAAAATATCCAAAGAACTCATAGCCCAGCTAAGGTTGGTGCGCTCCAGTGCGGTAGTTGGACTATGAAGCCTTATTTACTGAATTGACCTTCAGCCAGAGTCTTCGCTTTGGTCTCTTGCAGAATTGCAGGTAACTATTATTTTCACCCTATGGATAAGACACGGTTTCCACTCACTGATAATTTTGGGTAACTTGAATCTTTTATTGGATTTGCTATCTGGAGCTGAATCTCAGACTCTCTAATTCTTAGGATATAATTCCGTCCTGTTCCCCCAGATCTCACGCCCAGAACCTTCCCCAACTAATCCGGCTCTACTGGATCTAACTTTCTGGATCCTAAAGTAGTTTAATCCCGGGGGAGCTCAAGGCAAACAATATCCCTGCGTGGGGCAGGGGGTGCGGTGGGGGGGGGTATGATTCTGTTAGCACAGCACCCGAACAGCCACCAGGGGGACCCCGACCCGCCTAGGATGCTTCTGATAAGAAAGCATCCGAGGGGCGTGGAGCCGAGGGTCCTGTGGCTTCTGCTTCCAGAAAACACCGAGTGGGCCCGGGACCCCCCAGTTCTTATTGGGACAGGAGAGGCGGGGATCTCTCGTTCTAAAACCCGGGTTCGGCGGTGGTGAGAAGCGAGTGGGTGTGTCCGCTTCCGCCCGCTGGCCGTCAGCCGGAGCAAGAGCAGAGCGCCTGGAAGCGATACTTTGTTCCCGAGATGGGTTTTGTGTGCGCGCCCTCCTGGCTCTAGAAGTACAACTTTGCAGCCAGGGCGGGGGGCAGCCGGGTTGAGGTCCTGGCGGAGAGGGGCGGATCCTGCAGGCAGCTCCAGGCACAGCGGGGCGGCAGGGCCGGCGGAGTTCCCACGGGTCGTGGGCGGCGGTGAGATTCGCACCGTCTGGGTCCCTGGCTGGCGGCGACGCTCCGGGAAGCCCGTCCCCGCCCTCGCCCCGGATCCTCCTCTTGAGGGTGGGGGGGGAGCATTCGGGGGCTGGAATCCGTCGGGAACCGAGCCCCAAACTTTCCGAGCCCCGCGTTCCTTTTGTCCTTCTTGGCAGCGGCGGGGACGCCTTAGTTGCGATCCCCTCGTCCCGGCCTCGTTCGCCGCGTCCCACCGGTACCCTGGGAGGGCAAGGGCGCTAGGACTCCACGCGTGCGATGGCCACGGCCGCGTCCCCCAGATGCGCGAGTCAGGGAGCCGGCACCCCGGCCTGACTCATCCTTCTCCCGCGGTGACCGCGCGGCGTCCTCAGCCTGAGCCCCGCGGGGATGGGGAGTGAGACCGAGGCTGTCCGCTGTTGCCCGGATTCCGCCTGACGCCCCCGACCCCGCCGCCTCCCACGCTGGTCCCGGGAGGCGCACGCCGTCGCAACAGCTGCGGGAGCGAAGAACCCCGAGAGGCCACCGAAGCCCCGAGACACGGCGCTCAGGACAGGTGAGGGGATCACCAGGGCGCCGAGGGACTTGCAGAGGTGGGTGGGCGAACCCCGCAGCGGTATTCCCGGCTTCTGAAGCCTCCTCTCCTCCCTTCCGCTTTAGCCTGCAGAGTTAGGGGAAACGCTGACTCCCAAAGTTTGGGGAATGAACCAAGTCCGCCATCAGTTCCAGACTTCTTGGTCGCTAGAGCACAGGAGAGGTGGTGCGGGCAGCCTAGGAGCGCCTGGCTCCGTGTGTCTTCTTCGAGCTACACCCTCCTTTGTCTAGGTTCCAGAGTCAGCATTCTTTGTGAGCATGTCTATGGCGTTAATCTACGGTAGAACAAAGTGTGGGCAGGGGTTCTTAGAACAGTATTTCGGTGTGTGGTCTTGCCTACATAAGAAAAACGAAGAGCAGAAGCAGTTATCCCTGGGATTCAGCAAGACTCCTCCCCAGAGTCTGCCTTAAGTGAAAGGACTCTCCAAGGTTCGCTTAATTGATTGTTTTGCAATAATTAATTATTCAGGCCTGCACTGTGCGTTATGAAGGCTCCGGCATTCTGTATTTGCTGCTTAACAAAAAAATTTTTGAGGTGTGTGTGCGTGCGTGAGTGTGCATGTGTGATAACAAAACGATTCATTGTTCACTACTAGGCAATGAGAATGTCAGAGAGAAAGGCAGATACGTAGATACAATTAAGTAACTTGAATAGGTAGATTTAATTGAGTAATAAGGTTCAGTCACTGTACACCTTAGTCTGGCGTGTTTCCAAACTAAATATGCCTGGCTTACCTTTGCCTTCTTACCGTCTTTTTTTCTGAAGACCTTCCGTGGTTGACAGCAGAAACCATTTCAGGAATCGGTAAATGTAATTTGTATCGAACTATTTCCTTTTTGCTGTTAAACCAAGTTTCACAGTTTTGTGCATAGATGTTATCAGTGGGAGCCAAAGCTGTTTCTTTTAATGGTGTGTCATTTGATGCATGATGAAAACACATAAAATGACCTTTTGTTTCCGACTTGATCATTGATACTGGGGCATCCTACCAGTTTACTGAAGGGCAGAATGTTACCTTGAAACTTTTAAAGGCTCACTTTATTTCCACGCTGCTGGTTGCCCATGTTGAAGCATATGCTGGTACCTCCCTGCCTGTCAAACAGCTCAGGTGAGGAACAGGCACTCTTCTAAAAGAAATACCAGTGCTTCCATTAAGTGGAAACTGTCCCTCAATACTTTAGCAATTTAATGTTGCACTTTGAATTTTAAAAGTGGATACTGGGGTGTTCATAACTTTTCTTTAACAGCCCTACCAGATATCTCATAATTATGAGATAATTTGTAACCAGGGCTATAATTATCTTTGTATCCAGGCTGGGGAAGCCTTTGGTAGGGAGAGAGCTGGTGCGTAGGAAGGCTCTGAATGTTAGTTCCAGAGGCTGGCACAGAGTAACTTAACCTGTTGCTTCTGAGGCTGGCCTAGGCAAATACAAAGTATTCATGGACACTTGGAACCAAAAGGAGCTGGAATCTCGGGAGCCCTTGGTGAGAAGGGATTGTTGTCCTTGTCGTTTTCAGGTAGTGCAATATGTAGACATGCCTTTGAATGTGCCAAGAATCGAATTGCTACATTTAGACTTCCGTAGTTTCCAGATTTTGACAATGGTTCATTAAATGTAGAAAGAAAACTTCCAACATCAGGAGGAATGAATCTGAAATGATAACTAATTCTTGCCAGAATCCAATAAAAAAAGAAGCTCATGTCTTGCCTGTGAAAATAAGAACAAAAAACAAGCAAATGTACACTTTTTGCATTTCTTTTAAAAATGAGATGAATGAAAGAAGTGTTCATAGGAAGTCAAAAGTTCTCACACTGTTTATCAACCAGAATGTAGAATTCCAAAGATGAGGCAATTAAAAAATATATTCCATGTAGTGTTTCTCTCACTAAATAGGAGATAGCATAGGCAGCAGTTATCAAGCAAAGTGTATTTGGAAAAAGAACTTGTATAAGGGGAAGAAAAACAAAGCTAAAATGAGATGAACCATTGATGTTATCCAGGAACGTGAGACTTGCAGTCTTATGAGGTTTGTCCTCTTGGCCCCGCACTGAAGGTAGGCTTTGTCTGCTAGTGTCTGAGCACTCGTGAGAGGTCGTGCAGCAGAGAATACCCTGCTGGAGAGGAGTCCAGTAAACATAGCCCAGACTTTGAAGCTTTGTGGAGTGTCAGAGTGTCTGTGGACACCAGGAGACTGGTGCAGACTTGAGAGCAGTTACGGCAGATCCCAATCGGCACTTCTTGGGAAGTTGTCATCTTGACTTAGATACTTGATTGTGCAGCCTTGGATAAGTTGTTTGGCCTTTCTGCTCTGTGATGTCCTCATCTGCAGAGTGACCTCGGATTGAAGACCTGTATATTGTCTTATGAAATAATGTTACATGATGAGTTCTGCTGGAATTAAGGATACAGAAAAAATCTGAATGTGAGGGATGTGTGGCTGTAGTGTTAGGGCTGGAGAGGGGCAGGATGTAAGATGCCTGGGGGTGGGGAGAGGATAATGCCTGACAGCTGGAAATGAAAGCAGTCTAGCTTGGGGCATGTGGTCCATCATGGTGATCCCAGCTGACAGCAAAATCAAATAGCAAATACCAGCTTCCACTCAGTGTTTGATGGTTTTCCACGAGTTTTCACAAATAATAGCAATTGATTTTCCTAACAACCTCCAGAGGTAATTAGAGCAGAAAGGTGATGGAGGCCAGGCTGGTGCTACAAAACATGTTGGCAAAGTGCACTCGCTTGCCTCTCTGCAGAACTGACAGAGACAGAAGAGAAGCTGAGCATGCCTTGGAAACCCTAAAGGGGGAGAGGGAGGTAAGCCTGATGTCTGACGTTAGTGGAGGGTTGAATTTTTTAGTGAAAACAAAAGTAAGACAAAATGTGTAATTATGAGTTTGAGAACATCTGGAATTCCTTGGATTTGACTATTAGTGTTTAGTCTGGTTGTTCCTATTTCATGCTTTCTCCTCAGCTTCACCCCATTTTCCCATTCCCCTTTCCCGAATGGGGATTTGCTTATCACTGGGTCCTTGATAAGACTATTCCAAGAGCTCTGAGTGCACTGTAAAAAAGGAAATACCTACAAACTATACAAAGGTGAGGATCTTTGAACCAAGGCACTGTTGGTAGGATATGCAGGAACAAGTCATTCTTTAGAAACTTTATCACCAGAGGGAAAATTATACAGAAAAACAAAACAGACAACAACAAAATTAGGAATGTAGCAGAGTAAGAAGATGGGGAAACTGTAGATCCCTTCCTGCTGTATCTGCTCCCCTCTTCTGAACATCCTGTTGCAGAGGATGACCCAGTCCCTCTGCCATCACTCCTCTCAGGAGTTCTGTGAGTTGGTCAAGCATTCATTTGATTATATGTGCATGCCACTACACTAGGACAAAAAGGATTTTCTGGTCAATGTGGATGGAAAGTCTAAACGTGGATCTTGTTTCAGCTGCTGGTGGAACCCAAGGTGCACATGACTTTGGATTCTTTCTCTCCTCTTTTCTTAGCTCCATTTTTACTTTTGAGTTGAGATCCGAAAGAAAGAGAGATCCTGTCTCTTCCTGGTCCCATTTGTATGTGTTTGGAAGGATTCTGAGATGCTGGGCTTCAACAGCCACAGCATTAGTCCCTGCGTATGGTAGAGGGTTTTCAGTGGTAGCCTGGGATAGGATCTGTGCTAGGCTCTTTCTGTGTGTGGCTTTTGGTAGCAGTGGGATGGGAAGGAGAAGGCTGCTTCTTGATTGACAATTCCATGATGGTCACAGAGAAGTGGTACATAAAGCAAATGATGCTTCAGACAAAAACAATGCATTTTTCACTATGTGAAATTGTTCTTGCCTACACAGTGGTGAGTACGCTGCACATAGGCAAGTCTGGTGTGCAAGTCTGCAAAGTGTGTGGAGGCCAGACGTGGACACTGGGTTTTCTTCAGTTACTTTCTCCAGCTTAATTTTAGACAGAGTCTCCCACTGAATCTGTGTTTCACCAATTGTCTAGACTGACTGGTGAGGGAACTTCAAGATCTGCCTGTCTCTGCCCCTCTTCTGACTCCAGCATAGACCCCCAGATCCATGTTACTACATCCAACTTTTTACAGAGGTGCTGGAGAACCAAATCCTAGTCCTCATAAATGCACAGCAAACATTTATTTAACAAACCCATCTCTTTAGGTCCTAAAATACTGGCATCGCAAGTCCCATGGGCATTTTTAAGTCGTTATTTTATTGAAGCTTCTCAAGAGCCTTCTAAAGTGAGACAACCAAAAGCTGGGGAAGGCAAATTACCAAGTTAAGATTTTGTGAGCACCAATAGCCACAGTCTGTGCTGTAACCAAGGTGGCAATATCATTTCTCAAGACCACTGTCAAGATACATTGTAAAGGGCCAGAATGAATGGCAGGGTCAGTAGACTTTCTAACACGCAATTGAAGCACCAGACATCAGTGCACTTCAGAGAGCACAGAACAGGGATTGTTTATGCAAACTTGCAGAGCATGCATGCTTGCAGACATGTCAGACAAGATGGATGCCGAGGGGAAGCCCCACCAAAGTATTCACGTGCATAGATTCTTGGTATGGGACTTGGCCTAACACCAAGAGTCAGGTATGGGGGCAGGACCAGAAGAATGAACAGGTGGGCAGATCAATAGAACAGGTACAGTTTGATTGTTGATCTGAGAACAGGAATTGACCATATGGCTCCGCTTTAAACATCTTCCTGAGGTGAATCAATAGAATATGGAATGGATATCGCCTCAGACGGAGGGGGATTCTACTAGATGTCAGCCATCACGTGCAAAGAGAAACTGACATTTGTAGTGTACCTGCCATGCACCTTAGATACAGGTCATCTCAGTAAATCTTCACTACAGTCCTGGAAAGATAGGTAGAATCTACATCCCACTTTTGGAGCCAAGGCACGAGGCTCAGAGAGGTTAATCCTATTCGCCTGAATTCCTGGAGCCAGACAACTATCCAAAGGAGCTGACTCAGAATCCCAGATCTGTCAGGATCTGGAATTCATCCTGGCTCTTCAGGGAGTCACTCTGGTCCTAGCAGGGCAAGGTCAACTTCAAGTCTGAATGAGAAGCTGGGTGTCCTGCAGACATCTGGTTGGGAAAGAAGACAGTGAGGTGACTTTCGGGCTCGTGAGTATGAGGTCACAGCAGACCATGTGAAGACTGGATCAGCAGGGTTGTTTAGCTTTGTCAAAACACAGTTATGTAGTAGGGCCTTCCCTCCAGGACAGACTTCCTATTGCCATGCAGGGTGAATACAGCAGCAGGTTAGATGCTTGAGAGGGTAGTTTTAGTCACTGCTTTCAGTAACAGAGAAGAAAACCTCTGCCAATGGCCATGGCAAGTAAGAAATACACACACAGGAAAGAGACTGAGAGGGAAAATCGACCAAGACATGCTGAGTATTATA